ATCAGCGTCCTGCCAAAAAAAAAAAAAAAAAAAAAAAATCACAAGAACAGAGACAAAGGGTCTTATCATACTACAAAATGACTGAAAACAATACAATTATAAGACCCAACCTTTCTGGTGGGACTGTAAGGAAACAGACACCTCGTGAACTGTTGTGGACTCGGAAATGGTTGCTCTTTCTGGAGGACACTATGAGCCTATGTTACAAGAGCCATATAAACAGTCCTACTTCTTAGACCTTAGCCCAGGGAACAAAGAGAGCCTTCTGCACATTACTGTGTACAGAAAAGTTGTCTGGGATGGTGAGGAAGCGGTGAGAAACAGCCCTGGTGCTCAGTAGCTACCACGAAGTAAACAGCACCTTAAGGATCCTGCAGCCATTAATACGATCAATGTGAAGATGGGTTTTGGCTGTGGAAAATACTAAGAGCAAGTAGTAGCAGGCAGAAGTTCACTAAACGGGGGATACCCTCCCATCACAGTGGGGGACTGCTGCCTTTATCAGTCTCCAGCAGAGGGGAGGGGCCCTGCAGGAAGAGCAGGAGTGGATATTTCAGGAGAGGGTCCTTGGGTACAATATTGTTTCAAAATAAAAACAGACGCGTGTGAATCCATCACCCACCCAAAGCACCAGAACACCTCTAATGATTTCAGTTCACCTCTTCCTTGACATCATCCCTCTGTCTCCCCTCAGAGATGGTTTCCTGAATTTCATCCTTGTTGTTCAAAAAATCTATAGTTTCATTGCATGATACACTGAAATTATTTCTTTAGTCTTGCTTGTTTCCAAACTGTGTAAAAAGAGCATCAGTTTTCTGAGACTTGCTTTTTTCACTAAATATCATGTTTTTGAGACTCATACAGGTTGATGGATGGAGCTGAAGCTTCTTCATTTTCACTGCTATGTTGTGTTTCATTATATAAATCTACTACAATTTACGCATTCTTTCATTGATGTGCATTTGGGCTCTTTTTTCACATTTGAAAAGTGTCATGAGCATTTTGGTACTTATTTCCTGGATCATATGTACAAATGGCTCCCTAGAGTATATACCTGGGCGTAGCATTGTTGGGTCATAAGGTATCTGGATATTCAACTTTATAAGACAATGCCAAATTGTTTTCCAAAGTGGGTCTGTGAATAATTCTGCCAGGAATGTATGCAAGGTAGTTTTCTCCACCACTTGGTATTATCAAACTTCTCAAGTTGGCCAGGTGTGATGGCTCACGCCTATAATCCCAGCACTTTGGGAGGCGGAGTTGGGCAGATCACCTGAGGTTGGGAGTTTCAGGCCAGCCTGACCAACATGGAGAAACCCCATCTCTACTAAAAATACAAAATTAGCCAGGCATGGTGGCTCATGCCTGTAATCCCAGCTACTTGGGAGGCTGAGGCAGGAGAATCACTTGAACCTGGGAGACAAAAGTTTGCGGTGAGCTGAGATTGTGCTGCGCCATTGCACTCCAGCCTGAGTAACAAGAGTGAAACTCTGTCTCAAAACAAAAAACAAAAAACAAAAAACTTCTCAAGTTTTGTCAATCAAATGAATGTAAAAATATCCTACAATGGTCTTGATTTGCATTTCCCTCATTATTAAAGAGGTTGAGCATCTTCACATGTTTGTAGGCCACACGAGTTTCCTCTTCATAAAATGCCTGTTAGGTCTTTGGCCCATTTTTGTTTTTTAGACGGAGTCTTGCTCTGTCACCCAAGCTGAAGTGCAATGGCACCATCTTGGCTCACTGCAACCTCTGCCTCCTGGGTTTGAGCAATTCTCCTGCCTCAGCCTCCCAAGTAACTGGGATTACAGATGTGTGCCACCACGCCTGGCTAATTTTTGTATTTTTAGTAGAGACTGGGTTTCACCACCTTGACCAGGGTGGTGTCGGAATTCCTGACCTCAGGTGATTCCACTCACCTCGGCCTCCCAAAGTGCTGAGATTACAGGCGTGAGCCACTGTGCCCGGCCTGATTTGTGGTTCTGTACATACTGTTTACATATTCTTGATCCTAGTCCTTTTTCAGATATAGATGTGTGTGTGTGTGTGTGCGTGCAAATATCTCATTCCAGTTGTGTCATTTTTTTCTACTTTAAGATTTTCAAGTTTTGTCTGCTGAAAACTGCTATATTGCTAAATTTGACTGTAAGCTTAATATTGCTATATTGTATTTCACTATATAAATATACTACAATTTATACATTCTTATATACCTGTAGTCAAATTTATAAATTTAAAATTTTATGGTTAGCACAAAACAGCATAGTTTTTGTGTCTTGATTAGGAAATCCTTCCTCATCTGAAAGTCAGAAATAGATTCCCTTATATTTTCTATTAGAAGTGTTATTATTGAAATTTAAGGCCTTAACAGGGCTGGCATTTTTGTTTATGATATGAGGAACCTAATTTTAATTTATTTTTCCATTTACTGACCTATCCTGCCACTCCCCTCTCAGATATCAAAACTTTATGTTTGCATGGATGTATTTCTGGGCTTTCTATTAGCTATTTCTATGTTGGCACATTCTCATTCATTCATATAACTTTATAATAAATTTTGATAATTCGCAGGGCACATCATTCTTATTATTCTTCAAAATTTTCTTAGGTATTTATACCCTTTGTCCTTCAATATACATTTTAGAATCATCTTGCCAAAAATAATTTTATAAAAAATATGTTCTGGATTTTGAGTAGGGTTGTATGAAATCTACAGATCAATATGGAGAAGAACTGACAACTTTTATTCATGACCATGAGATAGCTCTACATTTACTTTTCTTTCTTCACATATTTCTGTACATTTTATCATTATTTTACACACAGGTCTTGCATATATTTTTAAACCATTTTTTAAAATGTGGTAATATATACACAACACAAAATTTAACATCTTAACCATTGTTAAGTGTACAGTTCAGTGGCATTAAGTAATTCACATCATTGTGCAACCTTCACTACCATCCATCTCCGGAACTATTTTCCCAAACTGAAATTCTGTACCTACTAAATAATAACTCCCTTTTTCCTCCTCCCTCAGTCCCTGGTAACCACCATTCTACTTTCTGTGTCTATGAATTTGACTAGGTACCTCATATAAGTGCAATCATACATGTCCTTTTATGATTTGCTATTTTACTTAGCAGAATGTTTTCAAGGTTCATTTACACTGTAACGTGTATTATAATTTTATTCATTTTTAAGGCTGATTCATATTTCATTGTATGTATATACCACATTTTCTTTATCCATTCATCCATCCATGGACATTTGTGTTGTTTCCATCTTTTGTCTATTGTGAACAATGCTGCTGTGAACATGGATGTACAAATCTGTTTGAGCTCCTGCTTTCAATTCTTTCGTGTATATACCCAGAAGTAGATTGTTGAATCAAATGGTACTTCTGTTTTTAATTATTTTAGGGACCATCATACTGTTTTCCATAGTGGCTACACCATTTTACATCCAATACAAAGGGTTCCAATTTCTCCACATCCTCACGAACATTTGTTTCCTTTTCTTTAAAAAAATTAATAATAGTCATCCTAATGGGTGTCCTGTACAAATTTTGTTAGATTGTTCCTAATCTATATTTCAATATTATAAATGGTATCTTTTAAAGATTCCAGTTTTTAAAAATTGTCTTCGTTTGAAATGATTTTAGGGTTTTAACAAAAATTATGAGGCTGGGCACGGTGGCTCATGCCAGTAATCCCAGAACTTTGGGAGACCAAGATGGGAGGATCACTTGAGGCCAGAAGTTCAAGACCATCCTAAGCAACAAAGTGAGACCACATCTCTACAAAAAATAAAAAAATTAGCCCTGCATGGTGGCACACACCTATAGCATAGCTTCTCTGAAGGCTGAGACAGAAGGAGTGCCTGAGCCCAGGAGTTCAGCTGCAGTGAGCTATGATTGTGCCACTGCAATCCAACCTGGGTGACAGAGTGTGACTTTAGCTCTACAAAAAAAAAAAAAAAAAAAGTTGCAAAAAAATGAACACAGACTTCTCATTCCTTCTACACCCAGCTTCCCCTAATGTTGGCATCTTACTTATCTAACCCAGAAAATTAACACTGACACAATACTATTACATAATCTATAGACCTAACTTGAACTTGGCCAATTCTCCCACTAACATTCTTTTCCTGGTCTGAGGTCCAGTCCAGGGTCCCACACTGTGATTCGTTGTCCTGTTGTTACCAGGGTGTCCTTGCTCCCAGAGCTCCCAAGATGGTGGTGGGCTGCTTCCAAGATGGCAGCAAGCCTCTTGTTCTCTGACCTGGGGTTCTTGGCCTCAAGGATTCTAGAGAATGGAATCTTGGGCCATGTGGTGAGTATTATAGGTCTATCGGAAGCTGTGGGTCACGGAAGAGAACTGTGGAACCCAGCTACTAGTGTTCAGCTCGATTAGGACGAACCCAGGCACTTAGCCGTGCGGAACAATGGCAAGCCTTTAGCCCAATCCGGAGCCGCAATGGGCACCTCGCTGGATCAGGAGCACAGCAGACACCCTGCTGGATCCGGAGGGGTGGAAGTCAGCAGTGGGTCTGCGAGTGCGACAAACAGCAGTGGTGGATGGCAAGCGAAAGCTCAGCTCGAGCCGTAACAAACATGGACCAGTAGAGTGTGCAGTTGCAAGATTTTATAGAGTGAAAACAGAGCTCCCATACGAAGGGAGGGAACCCAAAGGGGTAGCTGTTGCTGGCTCGAATGCCTGGGTTTATATCCCAATCACTGTCACTCTCACTGTGCTCTCAGGTGATAGATGATTGGCTATTTCTTTACCTCCTTTTTTTGCCTAATTAGTATTTTAGTGAGCTCTCTTTACTATCTGATTGGTCAGGTGTGAGCTAAGATGCAAGCCCCGTGTTTAAAGGTGGAAGCGGTCACCTTCCCAGCTAGGCTTAAGGATTCTTAGTTGGCCTAGGAAATCCAGCTAGTCCTGTGTCTCAGTCCCCCTCTCAACAGGAAAACCCAAGTGCTGTTGGGGAGGTTGGCTGACGACCGCTCTAACTGCTTCCTGCTGAATTGGGGCATAGTAGGAGTTGTGCAGTTGAGATTTCCTCGGGAGGGGTGCCTTTGATATCATCAACATCGGAGCATGGGCTAGCAGGCCGGTCCAGGGGTCCACAGTAGGTCTTAGTCGTGGACTGCATCTGGGGCTCCATTTGAAGAACAATTTGTAGTTTTACAGCTTCGGTTCTGGAAGAGACAAACTTAACAAGAGACAGGGATTGAAATGTATGGCCTGCAGTATAGGGGATTATTTCTTTGGCACACTTTACAGGCCCTGACTATCTGCTTGATAGTTTTAAAAAGGTCTGGTCCAGTAAACAATAATTTGGCCATCTGATGGGTGCTATCAATGCCTAAATGAAAGGTTTGGTGAAAGATTTCAAGTAATTTTCATTGGTTAGCTGCAGGAAAAAGTGTTTTTCCTTCTTCATTGGCTAGCCATCTTGAGGGGAGGAAACTATGTCCTCGTGAGGTTCCCTATTCTATTTCTCCTGTTGAGTACCAGGGCTTGGTTTCCCGGAGAGGATTACCCCATACTAGGGATCCTTCTATAAGCATTTCTAATGGAGGGTCCTGCCTTGTGGTTCTTTTGGCTTCAATATCTGCTTGGTGGTTCCCTCCTATTTCCCTTTCCTTTCCTTTCCTTTCTCATGACCCCGGCAGTGGAAGACTGCCACCTCTTTAGGTTTCTCTACCGCCAATAATAATCTGCTAATGGCTTCCTGATGTTTGATAGGTGTTCCCTCAGAAGTTACGAATTCTCTTTCTCTCCATATTGCTGCGTGGGCATGGAGGACAAGGTAAGCATACTTACAGTCTGTATATAGATTTACCCTTTTTTCCTTCTCCTAATTCCAGTGCCCAAGTGAGGGCTATTAGTTCTGCCAGCTGAGCACTAGTTCCTAGAGTGAGGGGATTACTTTTAAGTAGTCCATTATCACTGACCACTGCATACCCCGCTTTTTGAAGTCCTTTTTCTACAAAGGAACTTCCATCAGTATACAAGTCGAGGTCAGGATCAGTCAAGGGAACCTCTGAAAGGTCCCCTCGAGCGGCATAGGTTTGAGCAATCACCTGTTGACAGTTATGTTCTATCTTTTCTTCATCGTCTGGAAGAAATGTAACTGGATTAAAAGTTGCAAAAGTGCGCAGTCACAGCACTGGCCCTTCAAGTAATAGAGCCTGATATTTATGCAAATTGTTGTCTGACAGCCACAAGTCTCCTTTAGCAGTGAGTATGCCGTTCACATCATCAGATGTCCACACAATAAGATCTCTTCCTTATATTATTTTAACTGTTTCAGATACTAAGACTGCTACTGCTGCCACTACCTGTAAACAATGAGGCCAATCTTTTGCCACTACATCAATTTCCTTACTCAGGTATGCCATGGGTTGCAAGCTCATCCCTCAGACCTGTGTAAGGACTCCTACAGCTATTCCTGTTTTTTTCTGTAACATATAAAGAAAAGTCTTGCCCCGTTGGCAAGCTTAACACTGGGGTTGGGTTAGGGACTTCTTTAGGGTCTGGAAAGCCGCTTCTGCTTCAGGTGTCCGTCTTACTAAATGGGTATTGGCTTTGAGTTTCCTTAATTAGTGTATATAATGGTCTGGCTATTTCGCCGTACCTGGGAATCCATATTCGGCAGAAGCCTGTTATGCCAAGGAACCCTTTTAGTTGCTTTAGGGTTTGGGGATGAGGATAAGCCAGTATAGGCTGGGTACGTTCCTCACTGAGGGCCCTGGTGACCTTGGATAATTTTAGCCCTAAGTATTTAACCTGCTGTAAGCACAGCTATGTCTTTGGCTTGGAAACCTTGTAGCCATAGGTGGTGAGGAAATTTAAGAGTGCTTGGGTGGCTTGATGGCATAAGGTTTCCGAACGGGCGGCTAAAAGTAAATCATCCATGTACCAAAGGACAAGAGTGTCCAGGTATGAGAACTGGCTCAAGTCTTGGGCTAATGCCTGGCCAAATAGATGGGGGCTATCCCTGAACTCTTGGGGTAAAACAGTCCAGGTGAGTTGAGATGTTGGGTTCAAAGGATCTTCAAAGGCAAACAAGAATTGAGAGTCAGGATATACAGGGATGCAGAAAAAGGCATCCTTAAGGTCTAGGACTGTAAACCACTCTGCTTCCTCTGGTATTTGGGAAAGCAGAGTGTAAGGGTTAGGTACAGCTGGGTATAGGGGGACAATGGCCTCATTGATAATCCTGAGATCCTGCAATAACCTCCACTGTCCGTTGGGTTTCTGTACTCCTAAGATTGGAATGTTGCAAGGGCTATTGCTTGGTTTAACTAGGCCTTGGGCTTTTAGGTCCTTAACAATCTTTCAGAGTCCTTGTTGGGCCTCGGTTCTAAGGGGGTACTGCTTTGGTGGGGAAAGGAGGAGGAATCCTTTAGTTTAACTTGAACAGGATGGGCATTCTTTGCTCGTCCATATTGTCCTTCTCTTGCCCAGACTTCAGGATTAATTCCTTCCTCAAGCAGGGGACAACAAACGGGTGTTCCTTCTCCTATGTTCAGGTGTATAATGGCCCCTGCTTTTGCTAGAATGTCTCTCCCTAACAAGGGAGTGGAGCTTTCAGGCATAATTAGAAAAGCATGTGAAAGAGTAAAGTTCCACAGTCACAACTTAGTGGCTGGGAGAAGTATCAGCCACTAAGTTGTTCCCCAGTTACAACCAGACAGTGACTGGCTGTCCTAGGATCCCTCGGATAGTGACAGATTTGGAGGACAGTTGTCCAGGACAGGAGAGTAAGACTGAGAAGGCCGTGCCAGTGTCCAGAAGACAGTTAACCTCCTGGCCTTCAATGGTCAAGCATACCTGGGGCTCTGTGAGGGTGATGGCATGGGCTGGCGCTTGTCCCGGGCACCCTCAGTCCTGCTGCTGGATCATCTGGTTAGTGGTTCTGACTCAGGATCTTCGTCCCCTGGGGCAATGGGCCTTCCAGTGATTCCCGTGACATAAGGGGCATGGATGAGGGGGCAGCTTATTTTTGTTTTTTTTAAAGCAAAACTCCATTTTTATTATTTTTAAATTCCATTGAATTCTGGCCCGTATGCCATAGGATTTCTGGAATGTCACATTTCTTTAGAAAATTTCAGTGTTAAGTCTAGGTTCATTAGAAAATACTAACAAAGTTTAGGAACATACTTGGCGTTTCAGAAGGTAGGTGTATTTTTTTGGAAAGTACCTGGATTTTGAGAAATTCAGACCAATCTAAATTTACCTTGCCGTCCTTGGTCATGTACTCTCAAAGGCCAAAATAACAGATTTATAACAGTATAAACCAGCAAATTCTTGCCATTCTTTTGGTTTGTTAGTCTTCTCTATACAAGTTTGATTTTACATATACACCCTGGCATTCTTGAGTCTGGTTCTAGTTACTGGTTTAATGACAATAATTTAAGGCAGAAAAGGAATAATGACCACATATAAGGGAGCCTCCTCACGCAAGGAAACAACAGCTTTTTTTTTTTTTTTTTTTTTTTTTTTTAAAGCCAGGGAAGAAGAGCAACTTCCAAATAATAAAATTTCTTCCTTAGGTAATGACAGTGTAGAGGGCCTCATAGGAGACGGTGCAGTGAGTCATTCCTTCCTGTTTCATCTCCCCTCTTAAGAGTACTGATTTTGTGATCATTGCCTTATGGCCACAAACAAAAAGCAAAGAGTTAGGCTATATGTTGCTAAACTACAGAATCAGTTGAATTCCTACTTTTTCATGAGCATCGGTTCATATTTTAATTTGGTAGTCTGGGGTTTTAAGCCTGCCATTCTTTTGCAATGTCATAGAAATCAGCCACCCTACCAGAGGGGTACTTACATTTCTTGTGCTCTTCAAAATATTTTATGGTGCCCACAACTTTTTCCTCCTGAAACTTACTCTCAGTAAGACATTGTTCTAGATCATAATAAGTAAATATTTAATTGACTATTTTGTCATAAGACTCCAAATTTTCTGTCCTGGAATCATATATGCATATATTAATGGAAAGTATTTCTCTTCTACCCCGTCTCAACAGCACAGTCCCCAACACCCTACAATTCCCTAGACATTATCCATTCTCATTTTTGTACCAATATCTGTATCAGTTTGGATCTTTCCAAGCGAGTGAAACTCATTTTGGCCAACTTAAACAATAAGTGAATTTGTTGAAAACCTAAGGGCGTTATAGAATTACTGAAAAGGTTAGACAGCAAGGTTTGAAAATTAATTGCAATCAAGGCATTTTGGGGACCCAAGAATCAGAAATTCCAGGAAGAGATCCATAACAACACAGAGTGGATGCTGCCACTTTGTACGATCAGTGGTGTTTCTTCTATCCTTGCATAACAGTTTCAATATTTAAATCCCCAGAAGATAGAATCCAATTGTGGAAGTATAGATCATTTACTAGGGAGCAAGAAAGAAAATTGCGGTTCTATTTGAAATGGTAAATGGAGTTTGGATGATCAAAACTGACAAGTTATGGGCAATTATGAGCCAATACAGCTTTTGAAAATATACATAATATTTTGTTTGTGTGTTTTGTTCTAAAGTATTTTATTTTATTATGCTTTAAGTTCTAGGCTACATGTGCACAACGTGCAGGTTTGTTACATATGTATACATGTGCCATGTTGGTATGCTGCACCCATCAACTCGTCATTTACATTAGGTATATCTCCTAATGCTATCCCTTCCCCCTCCCCCAACCCCACAATAGGCCCCGGTGTGTGATGTTCCCCTTCCTGTGTCCTAGTGTTCTCATTGTTCAATTCCCACCTATGAGTGAGAACATGCAGTGTTTGGTTTTTTGTCCTTGTGATAGTTTGCTGAGAATGATGGTTTCCAGCTTCATCCATGTCCCTACAAAGGACATGAACTCATCCTTTTTTTATGGCTGCATAGTATTCTATGGCGTCTATGTGCCACATTTTCTTTTTTTTTTTTTTTCTTTTTTTTTTTTTTTTTGAGACGGAGTCTTGCTCTGTAGCCCAGGCTGGAGTGCAGTGGCCGGATCTCAGCTCACTGCAAGCTCCGCCTCCCGGGTTCACGCCATTCTCCGGCCTCAGCCTCCCGAGTAGCTGGGACTACAGGCGCTGCCACCTCGCCCGGCTATTTTTTTTGTATTTCTTAGTAGAGACGGGGTTTCACCGTGTTAGCCAGGATGGTCTCAACTCCTGACCTCGTGATCCGCCCATCTCGGCCTCCCAAAGTGCTGGGATTACAGGCTTGAGCCACCGCGCCCGGCCAATGCCACATTTTCTTAATCCAGTCTGTTATTGATGGACATTTGGGTTGGTTCCAAGTCTTTGCTATTGTGAATAGTGCTGAGGCGGCTTATTTCTATTTGGACAATCTTTTTTAAAGTGTCCTTGTAGACTGCACTGGAAGCAAGCACTATTAGGCATTCGATTTGCCCAGGTTTTCCCTTTTCCAGAGCCTCCAAAGTCTGCTTGCCTGAGGGCCATGACTAAAGCGGTGGCCTTTTTTTATCCCGTTTGTCCCATTCTGCCTGCTCCTCCTGATCTCTATTATAAAAAACCAAGGTTGCCAAGTTCAATAGGGTTTCCAGGTTTTGCTCCGGGCCTAAGATGGACTTTTGAAATTTTTTTCTAATGTCTGCAACTGACTGAGTGATAAACCTATCCTTTAAGATTAGTTGGCCTTCAATAGAGTCAGGTGACAGAGAGGTATGCTTCCTCAATGCCTCCCTTAGTCTCTCCAGAAAGGCAGTGGGATTTTCTTCCTTTCTCTGTGTTACAGTGGACATCATTTGATAATTCATAGGCTTCTTTCTAGTTTTCCTTAGTCCTTCTGGCACGCAAGTTAGCAAATGTCTGTAGCACCAATTTCCATGTTCGGATCCTGTGTCCCAGTGATGGTCTACAATGGGAACTGCCTGCTGGCCTGTGGGGAATTGTTCTTTCCTCTGTTGTCATCCTATCTCTCATTTGGGGTTAGTGTCTGTTTTAGCAGTAACATTATTTCTCTCCATGTCAGATCAAAGGATTGTCCTAACCCTTGTAAAACATCACTCAGATAGCCATCAGAGTTATCTGAGAATTTACCTAGGTCTATTTTAATTTGCTTTAAGTCTGAGAGAGAAAAAGGTACATGCGCTCTGGCTGGGCTGAATTCTCCTCCTCCTACTGCTTGGAGGGGGCATAATCGGGGAATATTGGCACCCTTTGGTTCATTGTTTACCCCTTTGTCTACCTCCTTTTGGACCGTTTGGGTGGAACGGGGGTCCTTATGAGTTGGGGAAGGAGTCGGGGTGACGCCAGGGTAGGGAGGTAGACTCTGAGGTTTCCTGTAGTGCATAAATCACACTTTTGACATAATTGTGAGTTGTCTCTTAATGAAAAGAAAGTTTGTACATATCGCACTTCACTC